CCCCAAAACCCCAAAACCCCAAAACCCCTATCTCAAGAAAGAATATAGAAAATGATAATTGAGTTAAAATGTGATTTTATGGGAAATTTTGGAATTCAGTACTCCCAGTTTTTGATTTTAGGTATGAGATCCGCTTAAGAATGAGCTCTTTGGAATAAGCTGGATTTTTTAAAGGCTTTTTAGGGGTTTCTGGAGATTTTAAGGGGTATTTTGGAAGATTTTGGGGTGGCTGCTTTGGAGGAAGTTCTTGCCCCATTTTGTGAGTTTCTGGTTGGTTTAGAGGTTTTTGGACGTTTGGAGAGCTTTCTACGGAGCTTCAGGAATTAAATGATAATTTATTTAGGTAAAAAAGGATCTGATTTAGCGGCATCGAAACAAACTCCCTCTGAAGTGGGAATGCTAGCTGTATCTTTTGAAGCATTTGTAGTCATGAATTTTTGATACATTCTTGATTTTGGATTTTCTTTCTTGAAATGTAAAACTTCTACTGGAGGCCCATCGAGCGGATAGTGAACTGTACTTTTTACTATTTCTACAGATCATCATCCATACGATTGATTTGACTCAATTTCCTCCTTTGAGGAGGAGTCAACTTTGAGAACCGACATTATAGGAGGCTGAGTGTTGCTATTACATAATTTAACAATTGTACCTCTCATCATCCAGGTCTGTACTATTCTTGATTGCGCTTATATCATCAATTGTATGTTGATCCGCTTTCTATAAAACCATTTGAAAATGCTCTGAATTTTGCTTGACTAATCAAATACCTTTTGGAGCACTTCTTGGCAGTTCTGGTACAACAGGGTCTTTACATCCTCATTGGTGGTAAAACTGTGCAAATTTTGAGAAGCCTGAGCAGCTTTAGTCTCAGGGATATCATTCACCCTCTTCTTTCATTCATCAGTCAACGAAGCTGGCTGATGAATGTTGAAATTAAGATTCGAGGTATTCTCTTTGTCTTCTTTGCTCTTGCTATTTAATCCAGGATAGTCTAGGTATTAATACGAGGAGTCCTTACCTATAATCCTTATTTATGTTCCCTCTTATTCTGTCAAGAGACCTTTTCTTTAAAGCTCTCTGCTTAATACTCTTAGCGCTCAGTGGTTTTGACTGATACACAGGGGGCTTAGCCAGGAACGAAGAAGTCCTTGAAGACATAAGATTTCTTGAAGTCTGGTTAGACTTCAAGGAGTCATTAACTCTCCTTGACCGGAGTGTTGGTGGCTATATGTCAGTATTATGGTATACCTTAGTCTTTGGTTGGTCTCTACTTGAGTTCCTTTTTGAAACGACCTTTACCTTCTTTTTTCGGGAGGATGACCTATTACTTTGGCTCATGACTAAATGTTGATGAAATATGCATACTTTCCCTAGCTCTTTTCTCAAGTTGTTCCCTTTCCTTGCTGTATTTCTGGGTCAATTTCTCAGGATTTAGGGTATTTGTGGATTTTGATTTCCTCAAGCCAAAATTCTTATTACGGTTTTTCCTCTTAGGATTTTTAGACTTGCTCAGATCGCTGATAAAGGAAGCCTTCTTGAGCGGGGTTCAGGTGGAATTCCCTCTGAATGATGATAATGGAGAGACTGAAGCATTACTATTCCAGTTATGTTTATTTCGAGACTGGTTTACTTTCTTTCCACTCACATTCGCTGATGTGGTCAGGAAGGATTTATAGCGCCCTTTCTTTAGAATTTTATCAAGGTACCCTTTCTTTTGGTACTGACCTGGCTGGCACCTGATCTTACTGATATTCTCCTTCGGCTTAGGAAGCGACCAACTCAGAGGGGAGGACTGTTTGATATCAGAGCCTCCAATTTTTGTGTTATTTGCATTTCTGGAAACTAGAGGGCTTAAGTCTTTCACAGGTCCCTCTGGTAAGTTATTGTTCTCATTTTCTTCATTTCCTTGGCTCAGAGCGTTGTTCTTCTTAGCCATTAATATTCGAGTCATCATAGAGGATTTTGAGGAGGGGCCAGCTGGTCAATTATTTTTAGGGTCTTTTTCGTCACTAGAAGATTATTAGACCAGTTAAAATAACTTATTACCTGCTAGAAATGGTCGAAGAAGCTGGATTAGCGCTTTTGAGTCCATTGATTACTTCTAAAGTGGAGGGATTATTCCCAGAGAAGCTACTTGCTTTTTCCATCTCGATTTCAACATTAATGTTGTTTATAGGAGGAGGGTTGAACTGCAGTTCATCACTCGAATCGGAGACTTCTTCGGATTGAATCTCTTCTTCAGTGTCAATATTACTGGATTCTGTGGGACAAGAGTATTCGACAACTTGGACTACCTTGTTGAACTTTACTTTAGTGTAGGGCTCTGATTTCTCTGATGTAGTGTCTTCACACTCAATGAAGTATCTATATGCATATTATACTTCATGCCTAGCCATATGACTCTGGCCATGGAAGAGCTTGACTAAACTTACGGCTTCTTTTGAGAATCTTCTTTAGTTTCTTCAGTGATTCTGGGTTCTGTGGCAAAACCTTGATGCCGAAGACTTATTTCTTGAGTGTCAATCTCCTCCTGGTTCATATTATTCATAAATAATTTTAAATAATATTCTTATTTTCAACTGTGGGAATATTTTTTGGGGTTTTGGGGTTTTGGGGTTTTGGGGTTTTGGGG